GAGTGGTTCTTTAAATGGAATATTTATTATTGTGTCTTCAATAACGGAGTATACGTCTTCCACTTCATTATCTAACGCGTCTGATGTTGGCATATAGGTTGGCATTTGGTGATGCTAGTAAGGTTATTTTTATAAGTCTATCATTTATCGGTTGGTAATCATACACATATTGTAAAACTTTTTTAGTCACCATAATTGCAACACCATTTCTTCCTATGTTATTTGCTCCCGATATGTATACAACATGATCTGCCGTTTGGAAGTGTTCTTCTCCTTTCCAATGGGTCTCCAAAAGTCCGCATATTTTTATATCCTCTCTTTCGACTTTTCTTTGTAGTATATGCAGTTTAAGGGGATATACCTCATTAAAAAACACTTTAACACTGCGCTGCACTGGATACATGTAAAAAAAATTTAAAAATAACAGGTATATTTTCTGTTTTATGTTGACCACCATATGAAAATATTCAGCCTCTATTAATTTATTGTATCAAAAAGAAAAACGGAAAAAAACATTATTACTTAGTTTGTCCTGCTTTTACCAAAAACTTCATAGACTACAAAAACACTTATTACCAGTATTATTGTAGAGCTTGTGGATTTTCTAAACAGCTATGACCTTGAAAATATTCGTCGAACGTCGACGTCGAAGCGTAAATTTGTACTTTGTCCATGCATGAATCATAGCTGTTTAGATAATCCACGACTTCTAACTCAGATCTCCGAAGAATAACTTGCAGGCAAATACTCAATTGTCTTGTACTTACTATGACCAAACAACAGTCCTGTCAAAGATTAAGATCTTTTCAAACACTCGAACAAAACAATTGTCCATACAGCGAAAAGCCAGTAACGACTGACCGGACCCCTCTAACTCTAATTCGCGAATCATCCACTTGTTGAAAATTTTACCCACTCCCTTGCCGAAATTACGCTGTAGTTTTAATCGTTTTGCTCAAGGTAATTTGAAGGTAAAGACTCAAAGCTTGTTTTTCTCGTTTAAAGTTTTTAAACGCAATATGTTAAGCCAAGTACTCGAAGTACTCCTTACTCGCGCATCGTTCACTTGCGCATATACCTCAAATTAGAAGAATATCTGAGTGAAGTTCAATTTGGATTCAGAGCAATATTCGGAACGAGAGAAGCACTTCTTGGTTTGCAGATCCTAATACAGAGATCCAGGGATGTCAACTACGATATTTTATTGATTTCGAGAAGGCACTTGATAAAGTCCCACATGGGAAACTAATCAATATCCTAAAATCATAAACAACATTAGATATGCAGACGATACAGTGTTGCTGCAGATAGTGCGCAGGGGCTCCACAGGATGAAGGATAACATTGTAGAAGCATGTACTTAACAAAAAATGCGGCCTAAAACTAAATTGCAGGAAGACAAATATAATGATTAATAGTAAGAACACCAACATAAACGACCAAATTACAATAGGCGATACACTGTTAGAAAGAGTGGAAAAAATATGCTGTTTGGGCTGCAATATTAAGGATACTTGGGAATATGAAATAAAAACTCGTATTGAAAAAGCCAGAAGCTCTTTTAACAGCCTTAGGAAGATTCTCTGCAACCTATCTTTAAGTATCAATATACACATAATAACTCTCAATTCTTAGATGTTACGTCTTTAGTGTCCTCCTCTATGGAGTAGAAAGCTGGAGCCTTACAGAAGATGCCACATAACGATTAGAGGCATGTGAAATGTGGTGCTACCAAAGTATGTTGAGGTCTCATATATACACCACACAAGTAATATAACTATTCTCCAGAGGCTAAGAAAAGACAAAGAAATTATTAACACCTTGTAAAGAACAGAAAATTGGCTTACATTGGCCACATCATGCGTAATAATAAATACCAACTTTTACAGTTCATTCTACAAGGCAAGATTGAGGGTAAGAGAGGCCCTGGAGGTAGATGTATATCCTGACTGGTTAATCTTAGGAAGTAGCTTGGTCTAACGTCAACTGGTTTATTTCGAGCTGCTGTAAATAGAATAAGATGGGTCAATGTGGTCGCCAATATCTGTAGAAGGTAGGCACATATATTTGGTGGCATAAAGGTCGATTCAAACACATCAGTCTCAGCGCCGAACCGGTCCTGTTTGGTCACGGAACTATTAATTATTTGACAGCTGGGAAACTGTTAGTCAAATGATGAATGTGAATACCGGCGGCATATTTCCATTAAAGAATATTTTGTGTGACGGATTGTTCGGTTCGGCGCCGGGTCTGTGACGAGACGTGACTGATGTGTTTGAATCGACCTTAAAAGTTATTGCTTTCTGAATCACATAGAATTTTAAAAATTATAGAATTTTCCAGTGCAATCGAAATTAAGAAACGCTAAAACTACGAATTCGACGGGAAATTGTATACATCCCAATGGGTGTCTTCCATGTTCTGCAAAACCATTGACTCACTGTTGTTCTTCGACGCCGCCCTGTTGACGCTATGCCCGATAGCATTTTAATACAGTATCTAAACTTCTGAAATTTTCCGAAAAGAAAATTTGGTTTCTCTTAGGCCAGCTATACGTCCCTTATCAAACTTGACCAGTTGATAAAAATGTGCGCATTTCCATACAATAATATTATATTATAGTAGTCATTGTAAATGACTTTAAAAAAAAAACAACCACAATTTTTAAGTATATAAGATAAGGAATTTTTGAAGTGTGTAAAATTTATTTCCTAGCTTCAAAAATACTTTTCTTTTCCATTCTTTGATTGTCATAAGTGTGTACAAAAACATATCAGTCTTTTCATTCATTTAATGTGTATTCTTAAGCCACGATATTTTTGTACACTTGACTCCACGTTTGCCTTCTATTTTTCTTTTCAATATTAATTGCAGTAAATGAGGCGGTATAACTAAAAACACCAAAAACAATGTTTTGAATAATTGCAATTTGAAATTTTACTTAAAAATGCTGAGAATACTTTCGTATAATCGCTTGTACTAACAAGAAATATAAAATCAAATTCTTAGTCTATTTGAATTGGTTACACATTATTTCATTTAATGCTAAGCATTATGTAAATATTTTCATAAAAATTAAGTTATGTGCCCTTTTTATGTTCCCTCTTGATACCGATCGACCACTGTTTATAAGAAGCCTTACTTTCATAAGCAAATTACTCTTGGGAACAGTATGGAACCAACAGTAAAAATACAAGAAAAAATGGATGTTCAGGAGACCGGTAAAGTTCCCCTGAAAAGACATCTCCAAAGTAGGAGAAGAACAGATCCTGGAATGCCCTCAAGATAAACTCGATGGCAAAAGGAGAAGGAAGAGACTAAGTGGAGCAGCTAGGAAACAGTTAAAGTGGCATCTGAAATCAGGAAAGCTCTAGTAGATATACCTCTTCTACCAAAACTCCTGAGAAAAGAATCAAGTTAGATGTAAGCACCCCTAAGGATGCATAGATGAAACAATTCCAAACTCAAGAGATGAATTAGAAAGCTACAACTAGCGGAATCAAGGTAGGAATAATCCACCCTGAGTACCCAGCACAGCTAATAGATAATGATAATCTTAGGAGACGCTCCTAGAAGCCATTATATAAACAGCTGAGAATCTACTACAGGATGAACCAAAGCAAAAATTCTAGGGCTGCTTGGAGAAAGAACTCCACTGCGAGAAATCTGGTCCAGGAAATACCTGGATCTTCACAATAAACAATCCATATGTGAAAGTCTTGGAGAAATTAAAACTTAGGCTCTTCTTTAGCTTTTGTCAGAACTTCATCAGACTAAAGAATGCCCGAAGAAAGGAGAAATCTACTTCATCTGAGCAATCAAGGCCGAAGAAAACAGAAGCAATGGAACAACTAAACTATCCGGAAAGTTTAAGCGGACCAGCCAAATAGAAAGGGGAAACATCCTCTTTCTCACAAGGTCAGCTACGCAGAAAACGAAAAAAAGGAGCCAACTGAAACCCTTTCTAAACGCTAAACTACCTTTAACGTAGTGGTTAAGCACCCACTCATATTATACATTATGTTGTAGATATTCATGTATTTTTTATCAATATTTTTTTAATTTTATTTTCTAATTCCTTTTCAAGTCTATAAATTATCAAGATATAAATACTATTAATCTTCAAATTGGCAATAATAAAATAAAAATCATCAAAACAATTAAGTATCTTGGTTTTCAAATTTATTGTCTTTTAATGACCATATTAATTATACTTATATTAAAAAAGATTTCTAAAGAATTATACTTTTTTTCAAGAATATCTATAAATTTGTCAACTTCAAGTAAAATTACAGTTTTTAATGCAATTATTCAACCTCACTTCGATTTTGGCTCATCAGTTATTTTATCTGTTCAATTTAAATCAGTTGGCCCAGTTGTATAAATTACAAAATTGTGGAATAAAAATCATGTTTGTTGGAAGCAGATATACACCTATAGCAACAATGCTTAGCATGCTGCAGTGGTTTTTATTCCAACAGAGAGTTTTTACCTTACAATGGTGTTCACATAAAAAAATAAAATTTAAATAATTTCATGTGATATAATTATGTTAAGGTTTTAGTGTTATAATATGTAAGACTTACACCATCAACTAAAAATACAGGTTTCAACTTTTTCACGTACAAAGAAGATCATACACATTATCAGGTGTCAAATTATCTATTATATTATATCTGTAGTTCAAGGTTTCATAAAATCGATACAAATTACAAGAATTGTATGAAAACATAAAATTTGAAGATGGCAAATTTATAATACCTATTAGATAAACACCACCATAACCAGCTTTTCATAACATGGGACCAAAAAGATATGTACAAACTTTACATTAGTTATTTATTCTCCTTTAAGTGTTTTATGTTGAGTTTATTTACTGTATCTTTCAATAAATAAAAATATTATTATAAATATTAGAGTACTATCACCAGAGGATAAATAAAGACAGTATATCAACATTAAAAACAAACAAGAAAATTTTTAACAATTAAGATTACTTACCAATAGCCAAAATACCGCCTTTTTTCTCATTAACATCACTGCTGTTAACCATTTCAAATATATGGTGGTTAAACTCATCTAAAAAGTTGTTAATTTCATCTGCAGTTGCTTCCCTAAGTTCGCTCTTCACATATAGGGAGAGGTCATTCACTGCTTTATATCTAACATGCTCATGTCGTGATTTTAGGTTTGCAACAAATTGTTGCAAAGCCGTTGTCGACATTTTCTCTTATTTTACATCCGTTTTATTATTTCACACCTCAATATTTACAACAAAAAATTGTACGTCCATTTAATTAAAAGGTTAGAATCTGACTAAACTTACGGGAACGGTTTAAACAAGCTGTCAATTGTCATAAAGATGTACAAAAAAGACAAATAAATCATAAACAATTTTTGAAGTGAATACTTCTTATCACTCGATATCAGTGCTGGGTATAATCGATTCGTGGTTGAGTTTACCGAAAGTACAAGCTGAATATAGGCGCAAATGTCAAAAATATTTCGGCTTGGTAATGTTGGCATTTTTTATAATGCATATATGTTGTACGAAGAGATATGTTTGTCACATATCACCTGGATGTTTCTATGCAATGAATGTGGCAATCATAGCACACTATACTTGAGAATCAAATTTGTAGGCAGTAAATTCTCCGAACTGTTAATGCGGTAATACGACAACATCGTTGCCAGTTTGTGATGATATATATTCTAGCAATTTATAATTTAATCATTGACATCCAGCAAAATTATCATATTAATAATTGTTTTGTTTTTGTTAAGGTATCTAATAAAATGTATTTAATAACATCAATATGTATGTACACTTCATCTAATTTATATAACGATGCACGTCATCGGCGACATAGCCTGTGACGTCACATGATACCAACACAAAATATTTAGGTTGTAGGTGTGTTCTTTTTTAGAATCACTTTACCGAGTACACTGGCATTACAGCCACTAGACATATTTTATTATATACGCGTAGAAATAATATTTAAAAATTTCTATTAATGTTAACTTAACCCTTTCGGTCATCGTGTCCACACCGATGGACATCGATTTTCAAAGCATTTTCTTAAAACATCGATGGTTATTATCGCCCAAATCATTTTGTCCATGTGTGGGTACATGCATAAGAAAAGCATTGAATACATTGATAGCCATCTGTTAGTCGATTTGTGAAGCTATATAAAACGCAAAACAGGTTGCGTTTAGCACGCTGTCGTGGTGGTGGAAACACCTGTTTGTTATTGGAACGATTTCTATTGAATAAACTTGTTTTTTCATATAAATACCTGCTGATTTGGGTAAGTAAAGAGCATTAGTATAGTGTGTTTATATTATGTATCAAACTGTTGACTGAAAATATCTTATAAAGTGGTGTATATTTATATGTCCATGTAGATGGACAAAATGCCTTAGGTATACTTATGCATATAAAAATTAGCAAGGTCGTATTGTTTTAGATATCCATAAAATGGAAAGTTTACCGTCAACTAGTAAAGAAAAGAGATGATCACGACCCTTGACTGAGGATGAACTTCTGGATTTACTCATGAAAGACGATGACTCAGAAATATTACGTTGGTATAAGACGTCGAAAGAGTATATAAATGTATCTAGACCGGAAGCCATATCGCTTTACAATTCCAACATGGGTGGTGTTGATAAGTTAGATTTTTTATTGAGCGTTTACAGATCCTACAGACGATCCAGAAAATGGACTGTACGTATGATAACACATGCTATAGATATGGCGATAGTAAATTCCTGGTTGGAATATAGAAAACAAGCTGAACTGCTAGGCGTACAACACAACAAAATCTTGGATTTGTGGGACTTAAGAATGAGTATTGGGCAACACCTCATTTTACATAAGGTTCCACCAAAGAGAGGCAGACCATCTGGCCAAGAAAATACTGGTACACCAAATAATAAAAAAACCAAAACTGAAGCAAGGCCATATATTGAATTACGGTTCGACAGCTATGGACATTTTCCGAAAATAGATGGAAAAAAAAGATAATACACGTTGCAAAATGGAGAACTGTAAGCGAAAATCACATACATTTTGCGTGAAATGTAATGTTCACTTATGTTTTGTAAGCGGTCGTAACTGTTTTTTTAAATTTCATGTAAAATGGTTAATTCGTTATTTACAAAGAATATTGTTTATTTCGTCATTCTAATGATATTCAAATAAATTTCTAAAATCTTCAGGTTTATTTTATTTTTGCCTTAAGTCATAATGTCCATCAACATGGACATGTCATATGCCAAGTGACATATGACATATCAAAAAAAAAATGATGTTAAAATTATCAACAAAAATAGTTTATTTTATATACCAAATATGAGAATTTTCCCATAGGTCAAAAAAAGTTGTGACTGAAAGGGTTAAAGAAATACAGAATAATATGTTTCATTTAATTTGTATAAATGCATTATAAAGCGTTTTTATCAAGAACATTTGTTCGGAACACACTGTAACTGTAATCGAACGAAGGTAAAATTTTGGCATAAATTGGTAACACTTATTTGACAGTTGCGGTGTTGACACTTTTGTACTTCATTATTTTGAATTTTAAAGTGAATATCTCTTGTTTTATATTTTTAACTATTTAATAAAATCTGTTCTTTTTAGAACAAAATTAGTGTGTTTTATTTTAAAAATGTCACGTAAGAATTTAAATAGTTGTTGTAAAGAGATGGTAATACTTTTGCAATAATTATGTAATCTCTTTGATTTAAAATGGAGTCAGGGTTTTTTTATACTATGTCAACTTTTATACTATGGCAACTATGTCAACTTCGATCTCTGAGGTAGATAATGACGTAAGTCGTTATCTAAATTAGATGAAGTATATAATATTATGTTTATATACAATATTTATATATAGAAAACATCTGAAGTACGATAATATTCTTTGTAAAAGTCATACATGACAACATCGTATTCTAGGACCGGTAGAAAGGAATAGTAGATCAACGTTCTCATAATATAAAGAGAGATAAATTGCTCATTGATTTCATAGCGCAGCATTCAATAGCGTATCGTTTACACTGTTGCAGTGAATTTTAAAAATGAATCTTAATATATTATGATATGAGACTTATATTTAACTTTAAAAGTAAATATTTCTTATCACAAAAAACACTTCTCAAAAAACGACTTTTAAATTCCATAATTTTGTACAAAACATACGAGACAAAGAAATTTTCTATGACATTTAATGACAAATTATAACTTTTATTCATGACATTTTTTGTTTGTTACAAAAATTAATTAATCATCGTATGAAGACGACTCGCCGGCTGATGAAGAGCTATCGAGATCACGATTATTTACATTGATAATTCTAAGTCCCACATTCTATCTTCTTCTTTTGTATTGTGTCTTTATACAATTTTTCCAATATTCAGGTGTGATATTTTGTATGCCAGTAGCTAACAAGCACTTCATCTCCTCCATTTTAAAACAAGTTTTTTCTTGTCACTTGGTTTTTTATTTGAGCCGATTTTATTTAAGCTCGATAGGGTTCAGCTCACAATGATAAGGAGGTAGGCGATGTACAATTATGTTGATTGCACGAGCCATTTCATTGACTGAATGTTTCTTGAAAACGGGTATATAAATCCTCGCGAGGTTTAATAATTGTACTTTCAACATGTTGTCATCGAATGGTATATTTATTTGAGAGAGCCAGTTGATTATTTCACCTTTTCGCCAGGCAGTCGTTGGTGATGGCTCCAACCGTCGACTGTGGTATGACGCATTGTCCATAACAACGACAGAATTTGCTTCAAAGTTTGGTAGAATATTTGACAACCATCCTTCGAATCTTTGAGCGTCCATTTCCTCATGGTAATCGTTGGTTTTCTTGGATTCGAATAGTAAAAAGCCGTTCTTCAAAAAAACCCGAATCGCTGCCTATATGTGTTATTATGAGCCTCCGTCATTTACCCACTGGTGTTTTTATACCTAATGAAAGCTCTTCAATGAAGGCTTGTCGACGACTTTTAATTTCCAAATCTTGCCACACCTTTGAGACAGTATGACCTTAATTTAGCCAAGTTTTATCTAAATAGTATACTTTTCGTACTTCACGACGATACTTTCGGATTTTTTGTAATTTAAGTAATTTCTCCGCCACCTCCGAATTTTTTGTAATTTAAGTAATTTCTCCGCACAAAACAATTTCATCTTTTTCTAAAAGAACACTATTCCTGCTTCTTTTCATATATTTATGTCCAGTTGCACCAACAAATAAACGATTGATTTTTTGATTTGGGTTGCCCGTTTATTTTGGAATATGTTGCGCTAACCATTACTTGATTGGAACCGACTGTTTTTGATCTGTCAAAAGTAACCAACCGATTTTCTACGGTTATTTAAAAAATCGACTGTTTTTAACCTCACTTTTACACTGTTTATATTATTAATTAATTAATGTTCATTTCTTCTAATGTTCGCAATAAAACACGTCATGATATTTTGGGTATTGAATTATCGGAATTTATTTCAACTTCAAAAAAGCATGAAATATTCTCTGAATAGGATATTTGGTATGATCTTTAAGCTGGATGCGGTTTCTACCTCGGGTTTCAATGGTTTCAACAGGTCAATCATCCAATTTGCCTTCACTTTGTTTAAAATTGTTTACAATTCTGTAGGTATACACTTTTAGGTTTTAGGGAGGTATAACTATTACCTTCTAACCTAAAATTATTATTTATTGTAATTAGAGGTAATGGATTTTGACAAGAGCTATGAGTCATGCCGACGCAGTACACAAGTTTACCTATTATTTACAAGGTCATAGCTCTTGTTAAAATCCATTACCTATAACTCAAATTTATAAAACAATAATAGAAAGTATTGAGTTATACGGTGATGTAGTATATCTTTTATAAGTAAAAATATTAAGAGAATAAAAGTTTTGATTCTAAAAGTATGTCGAGTGGGATATAAAAAATTGAACGTATTAAACGAGCACTGAAAGACGTATGTGGCGTCCTTAATTATTTTTACTGGCTAATTTAGATTTCTCATTCCAAAAAACTCCAGCTTACCAAATTTCGTGTTGTTATACCATGCCTGTTACGAAATATTCAAAAATAAAAGTTTACCTTTGACACCCTTTATTTTGGTTATTATTAACATTCGTACTAAAGTAAGTTAGTTTAAATCGGCCTATTTTAATCTCAGGAATCGTAAGATTAAGTTATGGCCATTCTTTGCCAAACACCATGTATATTATATATATATATTTATATATATATATTATATATATATATATATATATATATA